AGTGTATGCAGGCTACATGAAAAAATGGCTGTCCTAACTCACCTGGCAAAACCATTTCATTTTAAAAGTCCAATCCAGAGCATCACAAACTATTGCAAGCAGTTTTACAAAAATAAATCATTTTAGTCCTAGAGATAGCTGCAAGTAGCCTCTCTTCAGGCTTTTCCATTTGTGTATAAATAATCCCTAGTGACGGCTGGAGTAGTCCTGTTAAGCCTGTCTTCCTCAGTTGTATTTGACAAACCAAAACAGAGAATGCTTTCATCCCAGAAATCTTGCATATTATTTGAGGTGGAGGTAGGCTACACAGGAATTACTTAGGGGTTTTTTTTTCAGTGGTGGTATGGGCTAAGTATGCTCACAATAAAATGTTTTAAAAATAGGATTTACTATGAGTTCCACGGATCTCGGGGGAAGAAGGAAGGTAAAAGGAGGGTTGAAATAATAAGGTCATTGTAAATTCTATTTTTTTTTAAATAAAATTGGATTCCAATGGCAGGCAGTAGAGCTTCATCCAGTCAGGTTTAACTGGCAGCCTTCCAAAGGCAAGATGAAAGGTCCTCTGAGTAGTAATTGTCTAAATGGAACAGACTCTGGTTACTGTGCAACTTCTTCATCTACTTTATTGTACCTTTATAATTAAATGATGTAATTCCTTTTTTTGCTTTCTTGTTCTCCTCTCAACTACTGCAGGAAAGCATCTGAGCAAAATTGCCACAGTATGCAGACAGTCTCTGTGGCTTCTCGTTCTTCTTTCTGGGTCACTACAAGTCGTATACAAGGAGTGGTGAGCTGCTGGTTGCCAAAGCAGGACATAAACTCTGCCTTCTCCCATCCACGAGTGGACACTTACCTGCATTCCAGCTGTCTGCTTGCTTAGTGGTCGAGGCAGCTGGAGTGGTTGCTAGGGTGAGGGATTGTTGCTTTTGCTAGAAATTCCGTGGTTAACAGGCAAACAGTGGACCTAATAGGATATAGTGAACACTATGTTCAAAGAGGCATTAAGCAGCAGGGCTATTTAGTTTGTGGAGGAGCCTGGACAAACACCTGAAAATTGGAAGAAGCTTAAAGTATTGTGCTGAACAATCCCAGAGCCAGCATTTCCTGACTCTGCAAGGCTTTAGGGATCAGGAGTGAAACTGTGGTCCTGAGATGCTAAAAAACTTGATGAGATGCGAAAGCAGAGGAACAGCTCTGTTAGCTCTTTCTTTTTCACTGGTTCTTCTGTACCAGAGTGTTTTCCCTCAATCCAAGTAGTCCATTCCCAGAAATAAAGACTATTCAGGCGAGGAAGAACATCAGTTTGCATGTTCAACTCCAATAATTTCTTTATTGACTGTAATTTCTGTTGTTTCTCGTTTAAATTTTTTTTCCCATGATGACAAAGAGAACAAATTAACTACCTAATTTTGATGCAGCTTTAGAATATTCTTCAGGCCTTTGGTCTCATCTCATGCTTGCCTGCCTCTCCCTGATTATGTTTACTTGTGACAAGTCTCCTTTAATTCACTGCGTATTTACCTAATTGTATTATTTTGAAGTATGCACATGAGTTCTATGAAAATGTAAAAAAAGGATAGGAGAAATGTAAAAAGGACCAACTATTTTTTTTATAATAGTAGTGTCTATTATATCTATGTAAAAGAAACCTTAAGTAACAGATCTCCAGTTTATCTAGCAAAATCCAACCTAAAGGTCTTGATTTATTTCCCAGAAAGTAAAAATTAAAAATTAAAAAATACAGAATAGAATTACAGAAGTGACACAGCCTATTAGGAACAGAACTGGTTTTTAAAATCACTGGTATCAGAATACTACCAAGTACCACAGTGCCTGATCCTGCCACAAGCCATTGCCTATAGCTTGTATTAATTTCAGCAGAGTTCATAAGCAGAATAACTGCAGGGTATTTGCAAAGCTAGTTAGGCTCTTAATGACCATTTTTTGTTATCCTTTGATAGACAAATCTACCATTCTCAATACCGAAAGTTTTGCCTAGGGAAAAATGTAGGATCTGTTTTAAAATAAATGGATCACAGATTCTGTCCAGCTTGAAAAACAAATAAACAAACACAACCCAAAACACTTAATAAAATTTACATTCACTTACCTATAGCATTACACCCAATATTTGGGACCAGAATCTGCATTAGTTTATCTAGTTCAGGAAGAGGTGTGCTAGATTAAATTAAGAGAGGAAGGAGACTTAAACATCCTCTTTTATAAGGTATTTGCTCTGGATCTCAGAGAGAGAGAGAGAGAGAGAGAGAGAGAGATTTTATCTGTGGAGAAATACGTACCCCAGTCAGGTTATTTGATTGCTACAGGTAGAGAATATCTGCAGCCCTTTTCACCTGCACAGGCCATACTCTCCCCCAGCACCCACCCCTGCAACCTTTAACTCCCAGGCAAGTATCTGTCATGGAAGTAAAAACTACTTCTAGTTTTTACTTCCATGACAGATGATGTTGGGGTGAACCTGGAATACCTGCCTTGTTTCGAACTCACAGTTGTTCTCAGCACTGGACAGCAACAACACTTACTTCACTTTCATCATGTAAGTGAGGATTGTAAAAAAAAAAAATCTCCATTTTTATTTCTGAGCAAGTCAAACACTTTATTTTATCAAACTGCCATTATATTTGCTTTTCTATGTTTTAATCTGGAGGTGCCAAAGGAACACACACCTCTATAGCATTTGTGTGTGACTCTTCATCACAGCTGAGAGCCATAGTATAGGCAAATCCTCACTGCAGAAAGGCCATCAAATGAACTAAAATTTTGGTGTTCAGTGTTCAGAGTCTCCTTCCTTTAACATTTCTCTCAGTGTACAATGAACTTTGCTAAATGTGTATCAAAAGACCCTCAAGGAAGGCAAGGAGTGACACACTCCTATATTTGCACATACGTCCCTTTTGTGCACAAGTTGCACTTCTGACCTTGGGGCAGTGACTCTTCAAAGTGGCTCCCTGGCCACCTGCAGACATGAATGTCCCGGGGCATGTGTGCAGGAACACTCACTACACCTGAGCCTGGGAATCCCTTGCTACCAGCTGAATGCTGGATATTGAGTTGGTTCACTAAAGACACACACACGCTTATTCACATGCTCATATACACACAGGAACACACACAAATTGCAGCAGGATCTTTCAAAGACCACCTTCTCCTGCAATTAACCACCTCAGCTTGATTTGTCACATTTTCTCTACAGTTAACACTTAGCAGAGCTGCCATTACAGATAACCCAGTGCCAGGCAATTTCAGCTGTTTCTGGCAAGAGAAACGGACATTCCTGAACTCAGAACAAGGCAGGCGGGGAAGGAGGAACGAGTTTCACTTATTTCAAGATGAAAAACCTCTCTAATAACTGCAACTCCATTTGCCAAAGGTGAGCTCTGGTGACATGTTCGCCCGCTGTCAAGGTTGAATTTGTTTATGCCCCAAGCACAGTGAGCACACGTGGCAGAGCGATCCAGCCCTCCACAGCAGCCCAGCACATACACATCCTCACCTAGACAGGGAATAGGAATGACTCCCTTGGCACTGAAACCAGCAGCAGGGTGTCTAGGGTGTCTGGGTGCTGACAGGCTTTGGGCATGTTCACTCGCCCATTACAAATGGGACTGAAGACAACAATCTACTTCATAGGAGTTGTTACACAGCAGATAGATATTAAGGGTCCCTAGCAACATAGACAGAATCCCAACCAGTGATCCAGGCTCCCTGGCATGCCATCTGTTTGTACTGGTTTGGTGCAAACCTGTAACATGCTACTCACCTCCAGCGCTCACTTGCAAAAGACAAGGAACAACACATATACATGGGCAAACACGTGTGAAAGATCAACCCTCGTGAATAATTAGCTTTGAGCAATAATTCCACTTGTAATGTTTGAAGAGGGAATTAACGCAGGCTATCAAGGGAGTTTGGGACAGAGGACACACTTAGCAGACAAGTATTTTAAAAGATTGCACTGTGTAAGAAACAGTGATTTCACTACGATGGAAATAAACCAATGGGGATTCTTCTGAATGCAACGAAAGAACCATGGGAGGGAAATGTTATCTGTAGTATGGAGTAACCATGCTGTGGGTAGCAAAGATGCCGTCATCCTTTACTGAAACCCTCATCATCCTGCAAAAACATGCATCTTCTGTAAACAGGATGTTTAGGCTGGGTTTTACACCTGTGTCCCCTTCCTATACTTTGGATCAAAGAAATGTTTGGGACCATCACCTTGAACCACTACCTTGGGGGAAAAATTAAGACGAAGGACCAAAAGAGAAAAAAAAAAAAGACAGCACAAAAATGCTACAGGCAAACAGATGCATCTCCACCCCAAGAGAAAATTATTCCTTTCTAATAAATTCAGGTTTTGTAGATATTGAAAATATTCCAAAACATAGCTCAGTGTAAACAGCAAGCTGGGTTTCCTCCTGCTCTTTAGCATTTCTCTTTGTTTACTCTCCATTTGAGAATTAAAAAAGCCTACATGTGAGCACTGCAAATGGTGTATTTCAGGACTGATGGGGTATTTGGTAAAGGAATCAGAAAATGCAGACATATGTAGCCTCCAATAAAATATTCTGTGCTTTGCCTGAGCCACCAGGGTCAAATAAAATTTAAAAAAAATAATTCCAGTGTCTACTTTATTAATATTTTTATTTGTGTTTGGAAAATAATCTGATACCATGGTGATGGGCAGACTGTATCAAGTGTAGAGAGAAAGACATGAAAGAGACATTCTGGGGTGTGTCTGCTCTCACCCCCACTGCCTTCTTCCTCCCAAACCCCATGTCTCAGCAGTGGAGACCCCATGGGAAACTGCCCTGGCAGTGCTTCTGGAAGCAATGCCCAGCCCAGCCAGTTCACTCAGTGCAAGGAGAGGTATTTGGCTGGAAACAGCAGCTCCCATCTGTGAGCCCAAATGGCTCTGCTCATCCCCTGTTTATCTCAGGAGGGCCTGGCATGTTCATTTGGTAAAAAGCAGCCCTTACCTTTGGCAATCAGCTCCTCCAGCTCCTGGTCGAATCCCTGTCGGTGGCATTTCCTCCAGAGCCCCATGTTGGTCGAGTTGTACTGTCTGTTGCACTCGTCGACTGCGCTCATAGCAAAGATCTGCCTCCTGTTTCTTGCCAAGAGGAGTTTCCCTTCCCAGCGGTCCAACCTAGACCTGCTGGCCCTGAGAGGCAGGTTGTTGTTGGAGTTATAAATGAAGCCAGGATCATTTCTCTTTGTGGTGATGCTCTTGCACCTCTCTCTGTGCTTCCTGGCATCAGTTTCATACCAATGGTCAGAGCAGATTGCCACAGCCAGCATGCCCAGGGCACACAGAGCTAAAGACAGGCCAGCATACAGCAGTAACCTTCCAGCAGCCATACCTCAGCTTCACAGAAACACCATGGACATCTTCACAACAGGCAAAGCCCTTGGGTGTGAGACCACGCAAAAACCTCCAGAGCAGCTGCTAGGTGTCACTTGGCAGAGTCTGCCTCAAACATCCCCAACTCCCGTGGCTCACATCCACACTGCAGAGGGATGCTGAGAGCGCTACAAAGTTCTGCCCTGGAGGCAGTCCTGGAGTTTCATCTGCCTCTCCTCCTCTACAGAGGAGACCTGGCGAGGAGAAACACAGCCTTGCACCTCCAGCGGGAGCGAGCCAGTGACCCACCTACACAAAGATGTCCTGCTCCCCTCACCACGAGCACCCGAGTGACAGGGGCTGAAGGGATGTACCCCCCTGAAGAAACCTGATGGCTGATCAGTCCATTAATCTCTTTCAATCCGGCCAGCTCAGAAATCCAGAAGAGATGGTTTTTAGATCAGCAAGCTCACCACAGCATCATCATAGAGCAGAAAAGTTCAACAGCTTGACATCTCCCACTTGCAGGCAGCCAGTTGTCCCGTTTACAGGAATGGGTGACTTGTCTTTTGTCAGTGGCTCAGCAAGAGCATCATCGTCTGAATGGTCGGTCACTTGCTTGGGTTTAAAGCGGGGTCGAGGGGGAGGGAGCAAGAGGGGGGAGCAATCTGTTGTTGTTGCTGGCTGCTGCTGCTGCTGCTGTTTGAAACCGTGGTTAAAACATACCCTCCCCGGCTGGCTCTGGAAACGCGGGCACGCACGGGTCTCTCCCTCAGCAGACTTCGCTGACAGTCACTGGCATCTTGGCTTCGGAAACATCTCGGCTTCTCTCTGCCAGCCTTGCCATTCGCTCGCCTGCTTTATTCGCCGGCGCTTTCATCCAGGCAGCCCAACGCCGCGCTCCCTTCCTCCGCCGGCGGTCCTGGACAGCGCTCCGGCAGCCTCCCGGCGCCCGGGCCGGGGAGAGGCGGCGGGAGCAGCCGCAGCCCGGCAGGACCCGGCGCCGGCCGCGCTCCGCCCGCTAGGCAGCACGGGGGGCTGCCCTCGGCCCCGGCATCCTTCTTCCACACACACACAACACACACGCTGCTGCCCCCCCTTCCGCCGGGATCTGAAAAGCTTCCTCCGTCCCCGGAGCCGGGATGTGTTGTGCACAGTTTTCCTAACACGGCGGCACGTTAGCCATCTGCAAGATGAAGGCAGGCGGGCAGGGCTACGGCTGGCGGAGAGGATGCTGAGGAGCGGGGAGGGGAGGGAGGTCGGGGGAAACCGAACCAAAACAAACCGGGGCGGAGGGGCGGGGGGGGTGGGGTGGGGGAGCTACACACCTTACACGGGGAGAGGAAAGCAGCCCCTAACTGTTGTCAACAGCTTTCGGTCTGCACCATTTCTCTGCCATATGGCCCGATCTCCACGTCGGAGCTGAGATTTTTAGCTCAGCAGCTTCATACGAATCGTATCCCCAGCATCAGCAGTTATATTTTCAGACATATTTTTTTTTTCTCCTTAAATTTTCACTCCCTTTCTCTTTAATGGGAATAACTCACCCATTTTGTAGAGATCAAGTGCAACAGAAGGCGAGCTGGAGTCCCCAAGCTTTAGAAATCTCATTTCACCGTTTTTAACCCAAATAAAAGCAAATCCAATCTTCTGTATACCTGGGAATCTTTCCTTGTTCAAACACCGAGCCCTGCAGCCTTGGCCAAAGCCTACAGACCGAGCATACAGAGTGCTGAGCCAAAAGCCAGTGATGTCACCCATGCAACGTGAGACTCATTTCTTATTTCTCTATCCTCCTTAAAGATAAACTGCACCACTTCCCAGGCAGGAAATGTCGAAGCCTTACTTTCTTAAGAGGGGAAAATGTAAAACCTGGATTTAACTGGATCCTGCTCATTCTTGGTTACAAGCCCTTACACTGTGTCGACCAAGTCCAAGACAAGCAGAGTTGTTTCTCACTGCACCAAAAAAATCCCAATCTACTACATAATACAGAGCATGAGCTTGAAAAAAATCCCCTGGATTCGAGACCTTCTGTGTGATCCAGAAGACTGAGGTCTTCATACTCTGAACTGTACTGTTTAAAAAGGAAATAAAAATGGCCATTTCCCTTGCAACAAAAAACTCTGGAACCTGGCACATCCTGATTTGTGAGTACCACAGCATCCTGGAGCTGGCAGAGGAACCTAGTTAGCCCCATCCAATATTTGGCTTCCACACAGCAGTGACTCCTCAGCATGAACAGGAAACAATGCAGTTGCTCCTACTGCACCAAAAAGTCCACAGCCTGATGCCTCTCCACAGATGTGTGCTGTAAAAATGTACATCCACGCTGGATCCTACCAACTTTTGGCCCCTGGATCCCAAGTTGTGTCATCTGAATTGAAAATAAGCACAGCCTTTATTGGAGCCCTGGAGCTGGTGACAGCTATCAGCCCCAAGAGGGGGAGTCCTGGGATTTTACTAGCTTTTAACCTTAGCCACACAAATTATATGCTCTCTCCAGTGGGGAGAGCAGAGGTGGAATGTAGTAGCTCTTTGTGTATCAGAAATACATACCTGGATTTTCCTGTGGAATACAGCTGCAACAGGGCAAAAAAAGAAAAAGAAAAGGGAAAAAAAAAAAAAACCACCACACATAACTGGATCATAACAGGTTTTGGCCCCAAACCAAACTGTATTATCAAAAAAGGCAAAATGACTCCTTCCATTTTACCTGGTAAAGCCACATCCCAGATCAACTGGGATTTTCAGCTACGGAAGGATATCTCTCACATTAAACCATTTTTGGTTTGAAATGTACCATACTCTCTAACCCCCTTGCATGCTTATGAAACTGGCAAGGTCAATCATCCAAACCATAGATGTTACAATAATCTGTATCTGCTGAAACAGCTCTATTGCAAGATTTCAATGTTATGTTATGAATATGAACTGTATCTGGAAAACTCTAGATAAAGTTAATTGTTTTATTGAAACAAGGCCCTGCTTTAAATTTTTTAGCAGTAACTTCTCTTTGTTGTTAATAATAAAGACAAATATTTGAGGATCTAAGGTTTCTTTAAAAATAGTTCAGCACAGATGGATCCACTTCTATAACTGGATTTTTCAAGCAACTACATGTCAGTAGAAAAAAAGAACTACATTTTATAGTGGGCTTGGAGCAGCCATACTTGTTGTCTGTTCAGAGATAAAATTTAGAGGTTTGTGGTCAAAAAGCTGCTGGCTCCTACAAGAAGATGACAAACAGGTTTCTGGTATTGCACCCACACAGAGATAGATGAGAGTGCACCTGGATTTCTTTGTCAATTTTTAGCATCAAGTTCCAAGTTGAAGGATGAGAACAGGGAACAAACCTAATTTTACCAACCATATTTTTTGGCTGATTGTTGGTTTTTCAATTTAAGCACAAAAGTCTGCTGTATTTACTCTCTATTTAGAGTGAAGGAGAAAACAAAACTTTTTTCTGTCTAAATATCCAGTTTACACAGGACTGGGAGACTGGGGCTACGAGCAAAATGGAGGATCCAGCTACAAGAGCTGTTTTTCTCATGATACTGGCCAAAGATATATTCAGGGATGGGAAAATCATATAATGTAATCACACCTACATTTCTTTCTAATTAAACATTAGGATTACAGTCCAAAGAGCCAAGATTTGGTTGGACCCAGGGAGGTCCAGGTGCCAGGTTTTCCCATCACACTCCAAAGCAGTAAGATAGTTTGGGGCAGGGGGACTTTGTACCTGGAGAAGCCAAACTTGTTCCCTCTTCTCATTCTTTAACAGGGATTTGAAAGCCAAAAATTGGCATGCAGTTCCAGGTTTTATCTTTTTCTCTGAAAAGGAATTTCAGTGGCAGTTTCTATGCCTTTTTTTTTTTTTTGCTTGCATTTGTAGCTTTATCAGATGGCAGTCTACATCCTCCTGCAAGTCACCTTAAATATATAACTGTAGGAGAAATTGTTGGATTTCAGATGAACTCCACTTTAAGAATTAAAATTTTTTTCCCCCATATCATCATTATTCCTTTCTTTTCAGGAGGGGCAGAATATTGCTTGCTGTAGGCATTGGGAACCTTTCCTCTGTCTCTTCCCAGGATTATTACAGACAGCCCCTTCCCAGCACAAACAGATCATTATTAAATTCTCTTCCTCCCACCCCACCCCCTCCTCACCACAGGATGGGGAAAAAACAATCCTTGTCAATCTTCAGGTGAATGTAAGCTGAAAAAAAGACATTCAGAAAAAAACCCTGCATGCACATTTGGGCTACACAGAAACCACTCCCGACAGTGAATTAAGGGCATCTCGGCAAAGGCAGCTAATTCATGGGTCTTAAATCAATCAGGGAGTGAAAATACAGTTTTGGTAAAAGCTGAGGCTTTCTTTTCTGCAGGTTACGATTTCAGTGATCCAGAGGGAAAGCTAAAGCTCGTGGGTGCACAGAAAAATGTCTGAAGGCGTGGGACAGAGAACCGGCTCCCATTGAGTCTGTTCAGAGCCAAATCCTTGTGACGAGCCGTGCGCTGCCCGCTACACCTTACTACGGATGTTATCTTACAAGACAGGGCCAGTCTCCTCTCCATTCCCTCCCGGGATTGTTTCCGCTTTCCTTAGCATCCTCCAGCGACCAGCGCCCACAGCCTCTCAGGAAAGCTCCAGACACAAAAGCAAAGCGAGCGCCTCTACCAAGGTACACAGAGGTGGGGTCTTGGGCTAGAAGGGGGGGAAGGGCAAAGTTAATGGACTACCAATTGCAATTTGCTCTTTTTCATGGTTTTTTTTCCTGTTGGTGGTTTTTTTTGGTGGTGGTTAGTGGGGGTTTTTTAACGTCAAAATGACCTCCACCATATTATTCTTCTTCTTCCTTTTTTTTTTCTTTTAAAGAAAAAGAATTCAGTGCCATCTAGTGGGGGAGGGGATCGAGCTGCCCATTCCACAGGATCTGTACTGCTAATTCAGTTATTCAATAGGGAGAGAGAATCCTCAGTATTTCCCTGCTCTCTCTGTGATCTTCACCTCTTGAGAGGTGATGTTTAATTTACATGGGCTCTAGCCTTCATTCTTTGTAATGAACCACCTACTGAAGACATAGGAACTCATACTAGTGTTGTGTTACCTGGGGCAGCACTGACTCTGGAGGCAGTTTGCTGCTCTAATTACAGGATTTCAAATACAAGACAGTAATCAAACCAAACACAGATATAACAAATTATATCTGCTAATATTTTTTATCATTCCAATGCACCTTGGGTACTGGTGTACGTGAATTCTCAGCATGCCAGCCCTTCTATTAACACAGACATAAAAGATGCTGCCATAGAAGCATCTTATGATAACTCCCACAAACACCTGACCCATCAGTCAAACAGACTTTGGGTATTCAGGTGACTCAGAACCAAGCAGAGGCTCTATAAAGGAACATCTGAACCAAAAAACACTCTATAAAAACTTTGCCATCTAAACCACAGGAGTTAACCACCTGTTAATGTCCCTTCTATTTTTTTTTTAATAGAAAAAGACATTTTCAGAGGTAAACATCAGCCAGCTGCCTAAACACTGGCTAGCCATACACACACACACACACACACACAAACACACACACACAGAGATTAGGCAGACAGCTGTCTACACACTCGTGTTTATCTGTGCACACACTGGTATCTAGCTGCCCACACCAGCACCTAGCTGGACATCTTCTGCTCTCCCTACTGGCCACTCCCAAAAGAGATTTGTTTTGCTCTCTCTAAAAAAAAAAAATTTGGATTTCAAAGTTAACCAAGTTAGTGAATATCAGATTTAAGATCACCCATGCAAATTCACCCTGCATGCAAACACGTTATGATACAATCTTTAATAACATGATTTTCATTTCCATGGGTCTCCTGCTTTTTACAGTGCAAAGGATGGATGCTGCTCACCTAATGAACACTATTCAAATTTTCTTGTGTCCTTATCATCCAATGTGTGGTGCATGTACTGTTTACTGCAGAGCATCCAGATCTTGCTTTGCATACAGAATGATTAATTTCCTCATGGGTTTTTCTATAGTGGTGCTCTAATTGTAGTGTTGGAGGGTTGGGGTTTTTTTTACAATCATCAATGAGTTTATCTTCACAGTTCTGTGCTGAGGAACAGAGATAAAAGCCAATATTTTCAAACATGTCAGTGCATTTTGGGTGTTCCATTAAAGGAGCTTAGAACCAAACTTCTAGAGTACTTAGCACCTTCCTTCCTCAGAGAACAGCTCCCAGTCACCTTGGCTCTAGACACAGTGGGCAGTATTCTCACAGATTAGTGCATGGGTGACTGAAACTGGATACACAGAAAATGGGCACCACCTGGACAGAAGTTGGGAAGAATGTAATTTTTTTGAGTCACCTAGCTTCATAACATCAACTCTTACAAAGGGTGAAATAAAATCCAACTTTCAATTTCAATTCAAATGCCTTCACTGTGTGACCATGATTTTTCCTACCTGTATTCTTCTGCTCACTACACAGCCTCCAAACTCTCCACCAAACAGCCACCATGTCAGGATGACAAAGTCCTGGTTCATCTGTCATCTACCATGAGTGGAAACAGAATCTGGGCAGAAAGTAGGATCTGATCATGTATCTTAACTTCATGGCCACAGGACACAAGTGAATGGCAATCCATGAGCAATCTTCATTCTGGTGTTTTCTATGAGTCTTGATTTAGTGACCTGAAGTTGTGATGAACAGGGGAAGCACACACGAGGTGAGACAGAATTGGTCAGGGGGTCAGGAGCTGAATGGAGTGTAGCATCAAAAGAACAGGTTTATTCTGGGAGGAAGCAAAACGAATTGCTGGGCAGAAAGCAGGAAGACAGGAAGGTGAGCAGTCCTATATCATCTTTTTCAATAAAGCTGAGGGAATGGCCAACACTAAATGGCCTCACACAGAGAGAGGTAAAAGAGTAACCAGCTAAAAAGAACCACAGTATAATGTTGTTTTTCCAAAGACAAAATGAAGCAAAAGACTGGTGGCTTTCCACTAAAATTGCTTCCCCCTGTGAAAACTTACCCTATTATTTAGCTGTCAACTGTCAAAACTGCATCGTTGTTAACAACTTAAGGCTACACTGTGCACACAGCTATGTATGATCCACTGCTTCTCATGAGAACACCTCCAAGAATATTTTCAAACTAGGGCAAAACGAGGATGAACTACTATAAACTGAACCTTTCCCCAAACTGCACAACACGGACATCATGGCTGGAAAACATTAGTCCAAGCAGTTAAAGTTTAGCAGAGCTATAAGCTACTGAAAACAAGGTCTGTTAGGCAAACCTAGTCTACTGAAGACATTATCTCTCCATTGCTTCACTGCCTCCTCCCAGACCGAGTGTTCTTGGGCACTGTGGTAATCTGCAGAGTGACTTGGGAGCTATTGCTCCACCTTTAAAGTTGTTGCCACCAGTTTTAGGTTTTTCAGCCAGTTAGTAGAATGTAGGTCAGGCTACATTTAACATGTTGAGTATTAAACCGAAAAACTTAGGAGAGCCAGCCCTGTCCCTGTACCTTGAGTTCTGAGTAAACACTCAAGTGCTTCCAATGCCAGAGAAGCAACAAGAAGAGATTTAAGAAAAAGAAAAGGCCTAAGCTGTGCATGTGTAAGCCTCTACTGAGAGAAAGTTTTGCTTGGAGACAACTCAACCAAAGCACAAGGGCAATATTTAGCCCTCAGGGCTCTTTCAAATTCATCTCCCTTCAAGAGAAAACACATCTTAGCCCTGGCTCTCACAAGCAGAGATTCAGCTCCGATGTGATGCACTCTGTGATCACAGCAGCCACTCTGTTGTGTCCTGCTTATTGTCTTGCCAGCTTGGTAGTCAACATCTTCATATTCTACAGTTTCTTCTCCTCTGAGCTGGACTAGGTTTCACAGGAACAGACCTGTTTTCCCAAAAGCCTTGCTAAGAGGATTGCTATTTCATACAAGCCCCTCTGTGCCTCCCCCAGTTTACTTTATGGATGCATCAAGCCCAGCCTCCTACCCTAAATCCTGCTGCAGGAAAAACCCGTTGCCTGCTGCAGTGATGAAGGTGACATTGCTCTGAATGCAGGAGCTGTATAGCAAGGTTACTTGCTGCCTAAAGCCAGCTACAAAAGGAAGATGGCTCTCCAACATCACCGTCATTGGGCTCAGCTGAAAACAGGAGATATTACTTCATTAAAATTCATAGATCTTGTGACTTTTATAGAAATAGCAAGTAGAATCCAGAATGGCAGAGATGAGATATTAGGGCCAAAGAGTAATGACTGAGAGCAAAAACTCAGACTTCTGGCTGCCAATAATAAACATATTTGGTAAGAAGTGACTTTTATTCTAAAAGCTACATCTAACACGTTGATCTTCAATATATTAAAGCCTGAATAATTCTGATTTTGCTGTACTGCATCGATATGTAGTTCATATAGGCAGTCTAATATCTGCAGCACTGTTACTTTGCTTGACATGGCAAGTCACACTGTACAACCTTACCTAAACTTCTGACAGATTCTAGAACATGTTGTTCATTCCCTGAAAGACTTTTGGACATGGTTTCTGTCAGCAGTGCTTTGTGAACTAATCCACTGAAAGACAGAGCCACAGTCTCTGTAGACCAATAACATGGAGTTTCGTAGTGAGTGCATCACATCCATGACTGGATCCCAGCTGCCAGTTCAATTGGTTGCTTCTTTTAGTCACAAAAGAAGAAAAAGGATTAGTTAAAAATCAGAATTCATAGATGATAAGAAATCATGACATAATGAACTGGAAAGAGAACCAATAAGCAAAATCAAAAATAGCACCTGCTTAGAAAAACTGTATTCTCTAAAAGCACTGCTTCATTTTGGAACATGACTCAGAAGACCTCAGTCTTCATCTATTTCATTTGGCTGTGAAGTCCCAGCAGAGTAGATTCATTTAAATTTAAAAAAAAAAATTGTATACATATATATTTTGTGCCTCTGTAATAGCAGCTGACATCTAGGATGATAAACTCTCTATTTAGACACAAGTATGCTTCTATCCTAAACAGTTTTGAATTTACTTCTCTTCATTTATTATCACCAAGTATATTTGCATCCAAATAAAGTAGTTGGTTCTTCAGAATTCATCCATTTGTGCAGTTCATTTCCCCACCTCAAGCTTTATCACTGTGAAATCACAACTGGTCGTTGAGGATTTGATTAGATCACAAAAAGAGGATTAGAGCTCCAGATGGGACACACACAGCAGGAAGAACTGAATGCCTAAGCAAGAAGACCTGTTTTCCATGCAATTGCCATTGGTTTGTTAGTCTTAACCAAGAACGAAACAAAGAGAAGGAAAAAAAAATCTGTACATTTCATGCCACCAGTGCTCATTTTGTAAGAGAAGGGAGCAGCTGCTTAAGGACTGTTCTTCTTCTGTCAACACTGGAAGGGATACTGAGCAAGTTTGCAGATGACACAAAACTCAGAGGAGCTGTTGACTCCCTCAGAGGCAGGGGGGCCCTGCAGAGAGACCTTGACAAATGAGAGGGATGGGCAATCACCAACCGTATGAATTTCAACAAGGGGAAGTGCCAGACTCTGCTCCTGGATGCAAGTACAGACTGGGCTACCCTGACATAATTAACAGCAGCTTCATGTCACCCACCAGGAGTGAAAAACTCCAAACTAAAACCAAAAAATTAGCTGTTTCCACGACTCTGCCTTCAAAAGACTGTATGAGGGGGAAAGGTTGATCAATTATGTTTAGCTGTACAAAGAGCACTGCTGAAATGACTGGGAACCTGGGAGTCCAGCCAGATCTCGGAAAATCTGCTGACTTACAAATGGACATGGTCAGAGTGGCTATCCAGAGTGCTCCCAAAGACCCGATGATTTATCCTGTGCTCAGCATTGGTTAAGATACCCTAAGACAAGAAGGGACCTAAACCAGGAAAATATGGAGAGAAATCTCCATTGGAATGCACCATAGAGATCAACAGGGATATATAGTATCAAAGTCTGCTGAAAGTCAGGGAAGCCAACAGCTCACAAACCCAAGAGGTCTATATCTGAGACAGCATCTTGAAAAGAGTTCAATTGGAAGAAACAGGAATGTGAACTCAAACAGACCCAAACAGAATCTCCTTGGATTTTCTGTTTAAGAGAATGATGTTGTTCTGAAAAGTCTATTGCTGGAAGATTTTTATTTGTACTTCGTTTTTACACCTGGCTAAATAGAGTTAGAGATAAACAGCTGGTTTGACCCCATTTGAAAACCTTGGTGGATGTCCTTTTGGATGATTGCTGCAGGGAATGATAGAAGAGAAACTACAGGAGCTTTTATCAGCAGTGAGACAGATGTCTCCATTATTTCTTTGCTTTCTGCTGATTCTGTTATTTTAATATTTTTCCTTTTTTTCCTCCCCCCCTTCATCCCCCGGCAATACTTTTTCCCAGCCAAGACAGATGTGTCTTTGTTAGTGTTGCCTTTAAAAGTTTTATGTGCATGTTGTTTGTAAAGTAACAACAATACTTGACTTCTGTGGTATGTTTTTTCACTGGAGGAAGCTGAAGCATTTTCTAAGTATCAATTATTCTTCACAAAGCATTTCTGAAGCAGACATTATTATCCCCAGTTTACAGAGGGATGAAATGGCAGATAGGTTAATTAACTTGCTTAAGGTCATTCAGTGAGTTAGTAATGGAGCTGCAAAAAACCCAAGATTCAACAATTCACATTCCCAGTCCCTTGACCTAACCACTAAGAAGTATTCCTTCTCTTCAGTCTTAAGTACTTCATTTAAATCTATCACTGATCATTTATTCTGACATGTTGTTGAACTACAAATTAGTCAGTCTCAATGACAAACATGTAAATGTGTGGAGATCTGCAGCATCCTCCATCACTTGCCTGTTCAGCTTTGTGCACCCCCTGCTATGCTGAACAGCTCATCTTCCATTAAAGATGGAGAACTGTCAATACAGTTTCAGGCATCAGTCCGAGAGCACTGTGTGAAAGAGGAATAGCACTTTCTCCCTTTCCCCAGGAGGCAGGAAGGCTGCCTCAACAGCCTGGCTGTTGGGGAAAGCAATAAGCTCAAGATGCCAACTGGCTTTGAAAAATAATTTCTACTTTTCTTTACTGCTGCATCTCCCTCCCAAGTGTTTCCAGCGTTAGATAGCTGGAGCGGCAGTATTTAATAGCTACATCTTTGTAGATTTCACTCTGTGGCATTAGTTTGACGAGTCATTTTAAAGTCAAAATATCCTTCAAATGCCCACCCAAAGTCTGTCAGTCTCTTAATACTACACATTCTCTCCAGAGGGTTTTGCACTGCAGTTGTCTCCGTGGCTCAGCATGAATCACTGCACAACAAAATACAATTAAAGTCTGCCAATTAATCGTGATCACATAAAGAATGAATAACAAATGATTTCTAAACACATATGTAGCCAATGCCGTTTTACCAAATGCTCAGAGGGTCCTTCGACTTCACTCAATTGAAGATGATTTTATTCCCTCATGTCAATATTTATAACAAGAAAATGTTAGAGATCATCTTACAGCTTGATAGTTCTGAGAATAAGACTTAGGAGTGAAGTCTATCACTGTGTCATACAGGAACTACTCAAGTGCATCATTTCCAAGATCAACTGATACAAGTTCAGACTCTTTTTTCCTTGTAAATGTCGATAAACAAGCACCAATGAGCAAACTGGCAGCCTGATCTTTATTTCTGGGTATACCTTTGCCTTCTCAGGACAAACTCACAGTGGCTCAAGTGTCAGATTTTGTCAAAATTTTGCCTTAAAGCCATTTAACATTCAGTTAAAACTAAAATACATACACAAGAGGAATTGACCAGATAATTAATTCCAGATCATTATTGATCAAATAAAATAATTCCAGACAAAAAATCTGCCAACTATTTGTAGAAAGGTCTTTCTTGTAGTTTATCAAGAGGTCTCTCTTTTTTCTTGCTGCTTTGCATTCATGTGCTTCATGAACGTCTCTCCATTCCCCTCATGTCTTTCCTTCACAAGAGTCCCTGTGCACAGAATGCCCATGTTGTCTTCTAGCATCACGTCAATTCACTGTCTTTTGACTTCTTTTTTAGGGTTTCACCTTTTTCACTCACCAGTCTGTCACTGATTTTCTTCTAAATAATTGCTAAAAAGTCCAAACACTTTGCTCTGTTTACAGTAAAAAGCTCAGGAGCATCTAACAACACGTCCATAGAATTCAGCTCGTTAAAAACCCATTCCTGTTGCCAGCTTCTGCTGCTTCCTTCCATTCCCTGGAACAAGAAGAGAGAGCAGTTCAGCCACTGACCTGAATGTTAAACACTAGCAAACTAAACCAGGAGTGCAGCCACGAGTATACACATCTCTGATGGTGATTGCTCCCAGGGATGCATGTGACAGCACTGCCAGGCAGCCAGACTGGCCTGTCTAACCTGTTCTCACCATGTGCATCATCTCATGGTGATGGGAGAGTGACTTGGGCAGTGTCCTCCATGGTGAACCACATCACCTCGTGAGCTTGAACCCCCTGGCAGAATATAGGGAGACAGTGTTCCAGATGAGGTAAGAAAGAACATTTTGGCTACATGGATTGCAAAACAGACCATGCTCTGCCTCTGCAAATTTTTGCAGATGTGTTGAGTTGTCACTTTGTTGACTGTTGTGACCTTGATATTCCATCCTGAGTGTCTGTACGCTGCCTTACTGGCACGCTAACCCTGGCTGGGTGCTCTGCAAGCAATTCTCCTCAGAACCACAGCAACAACAACAGTGATATAGTAACATAAATAGGCTCTTGTGAGTGCACATTTTTACTTTGATTTAATAACAGCAATGTCTGACAGTAGAAACAACTGATTTCAGAGTAAAAACGTCAGAAGAAGTTAACCAATGGAGACCTGTTCATATGTGTGCTTCCATCACTCCAGAGCCATGCTGGAGCCTGAACGTACAGGCAGCAACACTGGGTCTCTGAAGAGAAAATCTTTGTGTTGTGACTTAGAGATCTTTTACAACCTAAATGATTCTGTGATTCTGTGGTTCCTTCCTACTGATCCTGACCTGTGATGTGTAACTATGAGGGAGAAAGTCAATTTGCCTACTCTCCTGATCAGGAACAGCTGTAATTCTCACACCAACCTAATCCACTAAATGTCTCTGCCCTGAAACTCAGCAGAGTAACTTAGGCAATCAGACTCCAGGGTGATAAAGTTGAAAAAACAAACAAACAAACAAAAAACAAACACCAAAAAACTGAAATGGAACTAGAATCCTACTTTGAGAGAAAGAGGAAGATGCTCTCCAGTGGTCTATATGCCAATTTTCAAAGTTTGGGTAACATGCAAGAACAACTGGATATTTTCATTGATGAGGTGAAACAAGATCAAACTGATGTAATTACTGGAAAAGGTAAAATGGAATCTTATAATACTTTGCCCCAATCCTTTTAAACAAATAAACAAATAAAGAAATTTGAAGATTGAGAAGGTAACAGTACATATGAAACCACCATCACTATTTTAGAGATGCAGACAGTAACTTGTTCCAATTAATGCTATTGAGGAGGGGTGGAATGGAGCAGGGATGGCTGCAGAGAATCAGGCTGCTTATCCCTCCAATGTACAAAAAGTGTTTGGAACTGTGTGAGGAAAATGCCCCAAATAGCCAGCAGCCATGTCTCATCAGATTTTCTAAAACTTATTTTCCATGACAGAAGTTATTCCAGTCTATATGGAAGAAGTATTTTTGAACTCAAAATGTTTAAACTACTTAATCATGGAACAAAAAAGTGGTGGTTGCTTAGGAGTCAGCTATCGTAATTTGATTATAACAAGGACAGTTGGTGCAAGAAGGAAAAAGGACAGTCCCAGTCAGGGACTGACTCACACACAGAGATGCTTCAGAAAGATTATCCCCATCATGATGGGAGAAATGATGAGAAAATTACGATTCAAAAATAGAGATAGAAATGTAAATGAGAGTACATATGATCTTACTCCATAAAGTCATGATTGCTTGATTAACAAAATGGCCAAATTTGGCTGAAGGACAATTTTGTCTCAGCAGTAGGGTGAAGGAAACACTCAGAAGCTAAAAGCATAGTATAGAACAACATGGAAAGGCAAAAATATCGGGAAAAAATGTTCTGTTCATAGAAAAAAATGAAGACTACAGAAATGTGATTACAGACAGTAAAATGGGGAGTGCAACAGTCCTAAGGCATATGTCTAAATAGAGATGGTAAAACAGCATAGAAGTGGCAGAAATGTTAAAAACTTATATTCCCTTCTTAAAAAGAGGCACTTTTCTTATCTAGTAAGAAAAGGAAAGGAAATAAGCACTTTTCAGTCCATTAGTCAGTAATGAAAATAGAAAGCAATTTCTACTAGAGCTAACATTTTAAAATTAGGATATCTAGAGAACTTTTATATGACAGTCTTTGAATAACTGGCTAAAGAAATTCTATAAATGTTAATTCTTAATAATCATAGAAAGGCTTGGTTTGGAAGGGACCTTAAAGATCACCCAGTTCCAACTCCTCTCTCCCGTGGGCAGGGACACCCTTCCACTAGATCAGGAACATAAAGGAAATTGTAGAGGATCATGCCAATATTCAAAAAGGACAAGAAAGGTGACCAGGGTGCCCAGGCCATGAGGCTGCTCTGCTCGTGACAAGCATGGAAAAGATGACAGAAAATTAATCAAGGAAGGACGATGGAATAACAATGTCTTCAAAGCTGAGCAGAATCTGCTCTTCTAGAAAACAGGTCCAGGCAGACAAACCCAATTTCCTCCTTCAATGGCATTACACGTTTGGCGTGTAAATGCAATCACATAATTGTCATTTAGTCAGATGTTTGCACAGGGTCTGATTTAGCACCTCCTGGCACTGATTAAAAATTAGCATAAATCGAGCACTGGGAAAGCTCACATGAAGCAGGATTGGCAGTGGCCAAAGGGGTGTTGGGGGGAAACATCAGCAGGGTCAGGTGCCCAGCCCCACCTCTCAGGGGCTCCCCTGGCACACACCCTGCTCCACTCCAGGTTTGGGGGCACAAGGGTTAGTGACCAGAGACCGAGATGACACTTGTGCTGAAAGACTGAGACTATGCAGGTGGATTTGCCAAAGCACATATACATAAGCAGCTGAATATCCATCCTTGAAAAAAAGCAGGCAGAGGGAAGCAAAAGTTACGAGGCTAAGGACTGGTGAGGAGCACAGGAGACAAGACACCCTAACTTGGGAGTAGAGAAGCAATTTCTCTGTGGTTTGGAAACATGATGAATGATAGGGAAACACTTAGGGCTCCCAAACTCTTCCTTTCATCACCTTTCAGTAAAACTAGATTTTGACAACAGTTGTCCCAGTTCACAGCCTGGTCAAGGCTGTGAGTGAAGACACCTGGCTTTCAGCTCTTTGTGTAAACTCATACATTCTCCCAAGAGCAAAACCAACTTGTTTTTGTTATATTAACCCAGGCAGACATTCTCACGGAGCAAGACTGCTGACTGTGTGGACATCTCACACCAGCCTTCACTGGCAAAAGGAAAGAAGTAAGATTGTACGTAGTGGCAAAAGGAAAAATAAGGTTGTATGTAGATTTGTCATCAGCGTCTAATGAGAATATCTGCTAATTTCACGAGTAGATTTAAGCATATAACTCCAAAGGTGCTTATAACAGGAAAAAGAGAGGAAGGCACAATGAAAACGTTCCTGACGATATTTGGAAATGCCTGTTAACACAGGAGGGCGTAACCCTCTTATGGGGTGACAGTTTGGGTTGTCCTGTGCAGAGCCAGGAGTTGGACTCGACGATCCTTGTGGGTCTCTTCCAACTCAGGATATTCTATGATTCTATGACGACGATGCTCGGCACCTGACAAGCCGTCACTCATTGCGGGGAAAGACAAGGCAGGTCCGCCCGTGCAGGCGGGACCGGGGCGGGGACGATCCCGCCTCTCCCCGCTCGTCACCCGCCCGCGCCACACTCCGGCATCACCGACCGCCCCCTCGGCATCACCGACCGCCCCCTCCGGCATCACCGACCGCCCCCTCTGCATCATCGCTCCGCGCCGGCCGCGGGTCCGCCCGGGCGCTGCCGGGTGAGCGGGGCCGGGGCCGGGAAAGGGGGAAATGGGCCCCGGGAGATGCGGGGCTCTGTCCCCGGGAGCTGCCCTGCCGGAGGGAAGCGGGGCCGGCTCGGGCTGGAGGATGCGCCGCGCCTGCCTCCGGTGACCTCCGTGCCCCGGGGCGGCCTTCTCTTCCCGGTGTGCTCGTGGTTAAAATCAGGAGTCACTCCGAAAACAGAAAGTTTTCCTCCTGTATTCCGAGTGAGAAGGAAGCTGTGTGAGACAAGCTGGTGGATTGGGAAATAAAAACAAACAGCTTAGGGCGGGAAAGGTTGCTTTGAGTGGGAGTGAGGAGCGGGGAGGAGGTGGAGCGGCAGCGCTGGAGGCTGGTTTTGGTTTTGGTTTAGGTGTGTTAATTACTAGTGGGCGATCCTGAAAATGTCCTCGCTGGAAGTGGCAGTAACAAAACTGTTCTGTCGCATCTCACAGAATCAGAGATCGCCCTAAACCAGGCTTTGGATGGCTCTGGCTCTTGGGAGTTTGTAGTCTTTACCTTTCTTCTCTCTCAAACATTCTTAGTCTGGTGAGGATTAGTGGAGGTCTCTAGCGTTAGCTTGGGCTGCTTAGATTCCTATAGCAGGAATTCTAAAGTGAAAATCAGATTCATCAGACCACAAGTTTGCATCGTTTAGGAGCTAAAGGTGCTTTCATTTTAAAGCTGCAGTAAGAAGAGATTAAGCAAGCTTCGTTGTTTGACTTGAGTCTAGTGATACTTTCAAAGTGATGTGATGAAGATTTTGGGGGAAAATTTGTTGCTTTGTCTCTGAATGTAGGAATTAGGTTTGGCTGTTCTGAAGTGGATGGCTTAGCACCACTTTTGTGATCATTGCCCCACGTAATAGATGCTCAGGTGGAAGTGCTGCCTTGCAGTCACTGAAGAGCTTCTGCCTTCTCACACTAGGCCTGCTGCCTTGGCTTGAGGTCTGTGATACTTAGCCTTCCTTTTTGTTAATTTTTCCATTTCTCTCTCAGACTCAGATTACTTGTAATTACATGCTTCGTTTTTTTCCTGCTTCCTTTTATAGAGCTCTGCTAACAGGAGTAAATCAAAGCAGACAGTTGTACATCAGGTCCTGTAAGTGAGGTTATGAATACTTCTAATTTGCATTATTAAACAACAGGCTTCATGTAATCATGCTGAAATAGACTTAGCACTGTCCTTCTGATTACTCTTATCCATGCTCTTTAATTTTCTACGCTCATCTGGAATCAGCTGTGCAATACTTAAAACGAGAATTTTAAACTTTAACCTCAGTGTAGTGCACTTAAACCTCACTTTATGTCTCCAGAGACTTATCACTTATTCAAAAAGGCACAGTACAGGCCACATACAGCTTAAAATACAGAATTATGGGATTCCCATTCTTGTCTATTACAACTCATTTTGCAAAGGAAGAGTAAAGATGTAAAAAAGTGGAAAAGTGGGGAGGATTAGAAAAGCTGAGAGAAAACCCTTCTTCGTGCTCCTTTAAGAGCGTGGATGTTGTCTCTGGTGGCCTGATAACAATGGTTTTGTCTTCAAGGCATTTTTGTTGCAGAGGTCTTTAGGAGGGGGGTGGCTAAAAGAGAATGGGAAGCTGCTGATGGATTTTCTTGGAAAAAAGAATCTAGCACAGGGAAGTTTTTTTCCTCTCAAAAAGAATGGCTATTGTGGGAGACCAAAAAGAGAATGAAGAAAAAGATGACGTAGATGATTAAGGGAAGAGAATTGAGATGGGAAGGATCTGTGTGATTCATATAGAGAAACATGATTTATTTATTTTTACAGTTGTTTGGCCATTCTTGTTAGACAGATTATAACAGTGTTTTAAGTTGGGTGAGAAATTTTCATGAGCAAAACTTCCAGGTTGCTTCCTCAATATGTTCAAATGGTGTCTTACCTGGTGCTTGTGTAGAAGTCAGCAGTATTGCAGCAGGTGCTATTTTTGGCAGAGCTCACACTGTAATTGTTCCTGTGATGGGAGTTTAAAGGCAGTCTTGAGCAAGCCGAGTGGCATCTGCTAATAAATTAGCCATGGTAAATTGTGCTTCAGTGAAGGTACTTTTATAGCCAGTATTGCTCTCTATAGACAGCAATAGTGTAGTGTCCTAGTTAGGCTGGTAATTGTACCTGAATTGGTGTTGATGTTCTGTGTGTGCAAAACTATGTACTAAGGATTAGACTGATTTCATGCAAGGAAGGTGAGACTTCAAACATGTGATCAGTATACGTGCGTTGTTTCATCTGCCTTAATTCTGGGATAGCCTGTGATGCTCAACCATCTGTGGCTCTCTTGTGCTTCCTTTTGCAGGAAAGTCCATCTGTCTGTCTATGTGTGCCCACTCTTCCTTGAGACATGTCCAGTGTTTCCAGTTACGCCCTCCAAATGGCCCGGCTGAGTGCTCAGATATTCGGAGATGTTGTCAGGCCGACTGACTCAAAATCTATGAAGGTGGTGAAGTTGTTCAGTGAGCAGCCCTTGGCCAAGAGGAAGGAGGTGCACAGCTGGTACCCTCCTCACAACACCTACTACGCCCTCATGAAGAAACTTCGCTACTTTGGTCTCTACAGGTACTCTCTGGGCTTATAGGGTTGGGAGCAGGACTGGAGATGGGAAAGGGGTGGGTGTGAGTCTGCTGACAGTCGTTTTCCTCAAGGGAAAGAGAAAAAAGTTTTAGTTCTGAATATGGTGCATATGGAAATGCACACTTGATTGTTGCACTGAGGGCAAGGAGCATAAAATAAGTGACTGCTGTCTAACTTTTGCCATAATTGGAACCTTTTGTGAAAAAGACTTTAGGTCTAGTTTTGGGCAAACAGTTACATAAGAAATAGTTCCTGCTTTGGCTTTGTGGGGAAGGGAAGAGAACTTTCTCATAGACAGGAGATGGGGCTGTAGTTCTGAATATGGCAAATGCATGTGCTACGAAGAGGTGATGTTAATGCCAAAATTGCCCCAAGTCAGCCTTATGATATATTTCTCAATCATTCAGCAGCTAATAAGTGAAATGTAGAAGAGAAGGCAAGTGTATGTTAGGCCACAGGGCTTTTTCATCCTTTAAAATAAATGAGGTTAAATTAAATTCAAATGTCGTTTAAATAGCCTTGTTAATTCCAGCTTCATCCAAACCAGTTGTCTAATTTCCACATGAATTTCCACAGTCTCTAGCAGAAAAAATTTGCACTACTAAAGAACATCAGCAGGAGTCAAATGCATTTCTTTCACTTCAATCAGGTAGCACTAAAGAAATCCTTTAAAAAAGAGAGGCTGCCAACCCTATGAGGTCAAACTAGATTAATTTCTATTGGTAGTATCACAATACGAGCCATCAAGGATTGTGTCCAGGATGCTCTTAGTTTAGGTGGGTGTCCAACATTTTCTAGTAGATGTTTGCTTACACAGAAAGCCCTGATGACATGTCCATGTTCCTTACTCTTCCCCTATTAATCTCAAGTTCCTTCTCTAGCTGCTCTGTATACAGAGAGCTTGTAGAGGGGTCAGGCTTGCAGCTCAGAGATATGTAATGAAGAGTCACAGACTAACAGGACCTGATAATAAATCACAAGCTTTTTGGTACTATTTAGAGAAGTTGTGTAGAAAAATAGCAGTGCAGCAACCCTAGGCCACGTAGGATGAAGTTATGACTTTTGAAAATTGCTATGCACTGAAAAATACAGGCACAGAGATTAATCAAATTTATTAGATCATTATTGAGGATTAATTATCTCTGCCGGCCCCTTCATCCTCCTTCCTATTTTATTCTCCTGTTAAGATTCTACCACTACTCATGGTTTCTTCATAACTCATTCTTGAAGTCTCCTGAGAGCAGTGTCATGGGCTGTAATTACTGCTAAGCATGGCCCTGTTTCCTTAGAAGCTAATGACCTGAACTTAGTATCTAGCACAGGAACACAATGTGCTATTGCTAGACTGCTGGGCCAGATGAGAAGGGGGGAATCTCATTCTTGTCTCTTGCTGATTGTTACATTTTACTGCTCATTTAAGCACAGTGGATCAATAAATGCAATTGAAATAATACAAATATGCACACACCATTTTTTGCTGAAAAGGGCAACCTTGTTAGTTCTGAAAGTACCAGAGGAAATCTCTTGTTATTTTTCAGTGATACTGTAGCAGTAATAAGGAATACATTGCAGTGAGTTTCAATATGGACTTCATGGTTAAAAAAAAGGGGTTTTTTTCATTATCACATACTTCAAAGAACCTTTCACATCTCAGTATTCCAAAAAACAGAGTAAATTTTTTTACTTTCCTCCTAATCTAGGGATGAGCATCAAGACTTTAAGGAGGAGATGAGGCGATTGAAAAAGCTCCGTGGGAAGGAAAAACCAAAGAAGGGTGAAGGAAAGAGAGCTCTCAAGAAGAAATAGTTCTATTTGAACAGTATCATTAACTACTCTGGAAATGCTGGAGAACAGCTGGAGAGGGTTTGGCACATAAGCTGCGTGTGGGGCACAAGAAACACACTGTGAAATAGTGGACTCCACCCTGGAAATGCAGTTGGGTCTTTGAAGTTTTATTGGGTTTGAATTTCTGTGCTTTAAATATACTGTATATTGTAGCACATTATTTTGTCAGAGCCCTCTCTTACCCAAGTAATAAAAACAGTAATTAAAAAAAAAAGTGCTCAGTGTTTTTCTTAACACCACCTGTAGCTGTTTCAGTTTT